CAGCGCGCCCAGCGCCGGCGCCAGCAGCGCGCGCTGCAGGTACGCGATCGCGCTGTTCGCCACCTGACAGACAATACAACATAACAGTACTCGACATCTCGTGTTTAGGTCCTTCCAGCCGAATGAAATAATAAAAAATGTTATATTGACACGAGATAAACTGTAGTTTCTAATTATAAATTTTAAATATAAAAGTTTGATGACAACTTTGAAATGTTATTTCTGTCGTATTTTTGTTAGTCTATGAACACATTGTAATAGGTAACATCAATTTCGTAAATTTAAATTAGGCAGTTTTAAGTTTTGTATGTAATAGGGTTTATTTTATACAAAGAATATATTAAACAAACAAGTAACAGAATAAATGTTTATTTTGCTACAACATATGCATTAGATTAAATGAGATTTTCTACAATTATTTCTAATTATCATGGAGTATACAATAGCCGAGGGTCTTCAGTTTTAGTCCAGTTTCAGCCTGTACATTGGGTTCCACCAGCCAAAGTTTCTGCAAATAAATTAAAACGTATTAATGTTGCCGATGTGAAAACAAGTTTCTCCTAATAATCAATTAGGATTTTAAAAGCCTTTTTAAAAATATTGCACAATAAAATTGAGAAAAACGAGAAAATTTGTAACATAAATAAAAAAAAAACACATACATACCTTGATTTTATTTTAGATTTGGGATCGTTAGAGTGTAGAAGCACGCTGCACAGATACAGTCCTTGTATGACGTAGAATAAGTATTGCCAGTTCAAAACAAACAATCCACCGTCACGTTGGTCATCGTCCATCGCATTGCGTTTGTCATTTCTATCGAGTGTTAAAATACGATTTTCTCGACGTTCCAACTTAGATCGGGAATCTGTGTCCATGCGGTAAGACTTTACTTGACGATTAATCGATTGCGTATCGATTTGTCGTCGATCGAATCGAACAAAACGAGACAGATCACGTCCATCTTTTAGTATGGTACGGGAGTTTTGTAGATTCTCTGAAGATTTAACACGTTCAGAAATCTTACGAACAATGCGGTTTTGATTATGAGCACGTTCCTCGGTTCTCCTCTCTCTAATATCCCGTTCAGATATACGATTAATGTTACGTATGTTGTCTGTGCGTGTCGTAATATGTTCAGAGAGTTTTCTAAGAATCGTTTCTCGTTCTGTTACATCAGACATCCCATTCTCTCGTCGCATATCTTCACTTCTTCCACTGTCACTTATTCTATTTTCGTTTTGTCTAAATCTCCTTTCACCATTTCGTCTATTCTCATGTCGTTCCGTAGCGTAAGTAGTAAGTCTTGATTTAACATTGCGTCGTTCATAACGGGACAAATCTCGTACAGTTCTGTCATATCCAATACGTCCTGAAGTTCTTTGAGATAGTTCATCAATATCACGTCGAACATTCAAGCGTTCACTGTTCAGATTTCTGGAACGTTCTGTCTCTTGCCTAGCGTTTTGTAGCAGGCTACGGGCATCAGAATTGCGACGAGCACTTTCAATCCTAAGTGTGTATGCGACGTCCCGATGCAGACTGCGTCGAACTTGTGTTTGTTCTCTTCTTAACCGGGACTCCATGTTCCGTTCATTATTGCGACGGACATCTTCAGTTTCTCTAATCATACGAATTTGTTGTGAGTTGCTAAAGCGAGCAGTATTTTCTATACGGCGAGGTACTCTAGATTCCAGATCTGATAGGCTTCGTGACTGCCTAATTTCGACACCAAATCGTTGATTTTGGTTGCGGCGGGTTTCAGGGCGTTCTGCGACAAAACGTAGTTTTGGTTCCATACTATGTCTTTCGTTAATGCGCGCTCGGGTATCCTGTCGCTCTCTGATGTATCGCATATCAACACGATCCATAGACGAAGACAGTTTTCTGTTCTCTCGCTGTCTGTTTAATACATTTGACAACCTGGCATCACTTTCATCTCTTACAAGTCGATTATCAGTACTATATCGTCGGTTTTCTCGGTCTGTTGTATCCCAGGACATTTGGCTTCGTTTAAGCCGCGTATCTGTATTTTCTCTTCGTAAATCTGCTATACGTTCTACACTTCTCCTTGTCTCACTAACTGCACGAGAGTGTCTGTTATTAACATTGAATCTACCTTCATTATCATCAGTGGCAATGTGAGAAACATGCCTGGATCTGGTATCAAGACGTTCAGAGAGGCGAGATGATTGGGGCTCGGTGCCGTATTGTGTATTGACACGTTTAAACGCAGAGACTCGACGTTCAGTAGAAAATCTAGAAAGTTGACGTACAACGCCGGAATCACGACGAGAATTTGCTTCACTTGGAATGTTTCTACGCTCGGAATCGTAACGTTCAAATTTAAGACGCTGTGTTTCCATCGGTTCTGATGGTGTACGCGAGGATCGTTGATCATCACTGCGTACAGTGGATCGACGCTCTCTCGGAATACGAAATTCTCTGCGAATACGATCATTTCTAATAATATCACGTTCTTGAGAGGGACGGTACTCATGTTTAGCATAGCTACGTTCAGTTTCGATTTGTCTAGTTGGTGTGCGTAAAATTCCACGTTCGTTATCGTATATCTGTCTATCATTTTGTGGAATGGATCGAGTAATGGGACGATTCTCATCGAGTTCAATTCTACGCAGTTCTCTTGTAAGTCTAGAAAGATTTTCCGATCGGCGGCTACTTTCCAAGGAAGCACGAGTAGAATCACGTTCGGATATGCGCCTTGAATCCCGTTCTTGCAATCTCGCAGTACGAATGTTTGTTCGGAGAGAAGACAAATGACGGTCAGATCGAGTGCCACGGTATTCAGTACGACGTATTTCAGGCTCGTGATCATCTTTCACACTAGACACAGCAAGCCTGTTCCTAGTCAATGTGGGAAAGTGAGAAAATCTCCTTGATGCAACAGAATCTAATGGAGAACGACGGTCTAAAACAAATCTGGTATCACGACGGTCAGTGGCTAAACGAGGCATTCGAGAATCTCTCGCCATCCTTTCTACAGAATGTGAATTAACTCGGTTATCATCAATACGTCTCACAGCACGAATTTCTCTAATAGGTAAGTTTGAAACTCGAATGTTGTTTATTCTTTTAGTAGGAAATCGCCTTTGGTTATCAATATGTTCAAATTCTCTCGAACGTAGTACTTCATTCCTATTGTCTTGACGAGTTTCATACCGAGATCTACTTTGTCGCCTTTCCGTATCCTCTCTAGTGGTCTGACGTTCAATTTTCCTATCAAAAGCATTAAGATTTCTTTCCACACGGTGCATTTGTCTATTCCTAGAATCAAATCTATGGGACGTTTCTCGGCGTTGATCAATTCTTTGGAGCGTATTCCTTGCATCTTTGCGTACACGATTTTCGCGAGTATCAAATCGGTTAAAACCAGCGTCACGTTCTGTGCGTCTTCCTAGAACGTTCCGTTCATATCTTTCTCCAGATTTCTCTTCAGAAGTACGACGATAGGCTTCTATATCTCGTTCGTCTTTCCATCTTGAACCTCCTATATCTGGACCTCGAATGGATCCCTGAACCTCTGATGGTTTGTCTAGTAGCCTTCTGTAGGACAAAAGCCTGTTGTCAGGTGGTTGGTCGCAGCAGTGTCTTCCATTAAACCTTTCCGATATACTCGGAGGGGTATAGCAGAGTAGAGCTAGTAGTAACAGATGCCAGCAATACATAACTGTATCCTTAGTGAAGTGATGTTTCACCGTCGGAAGCTGGATCTGTACTGACTGAGAGCTGGCTGGGACCGAGCTTTTATACCAGCCCGGAGCCTCGTTCGATTAAATTTCTATTAGACGGTAGAACGCGTTCAATTTTCATCATCCTACACGAGGACATTTTAAATGTGGCTTAAATCATTCACAGGCGAGGATAAAATCTATTTAAGTGACAATTTATTATTTATCCTTTTATAGCAAAGCTGTAAATTGTCTGATTATTTATATTTATAACGTTTACAATGAAACAAAAAGGTGTAAATAATATACTTACTTTTAACCTGTAGGTTCAGGTTAGTTATTACTAGGTCCTCACAATGATCTTCCATAAAATTCAATTTGTAATTAGAATATATCAAAAGTCCCCACAGACGATAAAAATATTTTTTCAAGCAAGGATAACTTAGTACTAAATTTTGTTGACTGTATGTCTGAAACCTCAAGAAATTATCTCCGAACTAGTACATACATATGCAATGAAATATTTACTGGTTTTCGAATTACACATGGTATCAATATGAAATCATTTTTTTATAAAAGCGAGGCCAATACAAAGTCTAATTTTGTGGTCGCCTATAGAGTAGAATCTACACTAAACGTCTCTCTTAGTGATTAATGTATTCAGACTATGAGCATCTAGTCTCTCTGTGCCCACCCTATTGTAGCAGAGTGGTGTAAAGCTTGTTTATTGACGTGTGCAGTGCGTGGGTTGAGGATGGGGGGTGTGAGGGTGCGTTATCAGGGTGTCGCAGCTGTGTCGAGGGTCGCAGGAAATTATCAGATCGCATTCACCGGAGCGATAGATTGACAATTATTCATCGGCCCAGTGGCGTCACAGTTATCGAGAACATTCTATTTCGGGTCGTATAAGTAATTCAATTTATTAAATTTACGATATCGAGATAGAAAACAATTTGGTGTGCGATTATAAAATATTGAAAAGTCATCTATATTCCCTTAGTACCGTCATTGTTTTTCCACTAAGAATAAAATTAGGTTTTAAAGCAAAACATTTACTAATCCGACTCGAAGGACCAAATATTAGAAATTGAAAAATATAAGTTCTTTCTAATTATAACACTGTAGAAATCTAGGAAAATGTATATATTTCAAAAATAACTATAACAACATACCTGTCGACGCCTGTCAGTACAGAACTCAGCGATGCCTTGCAGCAATGGCTTCCACGCCACCTCCCACAAGTCGTAGTCTTCACCACCTTTGCAATACAATGGTAAAATGATAAAAATTGATTGTGCTTCACAAGTGCTACAAAAATGTAAACTCGTGGCATGTGGTGTAATTTGTAGATCTCACCATGTCCCTGGTCAGCCTCATCCCGCCACCACTTGAAGATCTGCGCCGTGCGGCTGTGCAGCGTGTGCATCAGGTCCAACAGCTGGCACACACATTATTTATACGTATTAAAAATCATATTTAAGTACTAGCTTTCGCCCGCGACTCCGTTCGTGTAGGATTAAAAAAAAACTGAGTAGCCTATACGTTCTTCCAAACTGTTCTCATCTATGGCAAATTTCATCAAAATCCGTTCAGCCGTTTAGACCACAAACATCCATCTATCTATACATCCATCTAAACTTTCGCATTTATTATATTAGTAAGGAAGATTAACAGACATTGTTCCTTTGTAAAAAAATGAGTAATGTTTGTATACCTGTATGCTGACCATGTGGTACTGGTCGAGGGTGTCCAGCTCCTCGTCGCTGGAGTCCCCGCCCTTGCGCCGCCCGCGCCCGCGCCGCGCCCCGCCCTCGCCCTCGCCGCCTTCACGAGGACCTTTTGAACCTGGGTTAATATCTTACACTGAATATACATGAAGAAACTAATATAATTTTCTATCTATACATATAATAAAAATGGAGTGTCTGTCTGTAATATCAAAGGAAAAATTCCAGATCTCGAACGATGGTGTATCTTTGTAGCTGATAACGAAAATCGCAGTAAAGAAAATTTTGTCTGTCTGCAAACTGCGTTCTTTCCGGGTAATCTCCAAAACGTTTGGGCCGATTGGAATTTCACTGAAGGGTAGCCGAGATAGACGGGCATATTATAGGCTACTTTTTTTTTTAAATTCCGCGCTGTCAAAATGGCAATCGGATCACTATCTCTGGAACGGGTTTATCGATTTAGACGGGACTTTGACTGAAAGATAGCTGAAAGGTAGATGCACGCGAGAATGTGATAGATGACTTTTTTCCGCGTTAAGTTTGCGAGCGATAGCTCGTATATTAGTAATCTGCTCAGTTATTGTGTTTGTGAATGTATGGGTATGTGTATGTGTGTGTGTGTGTGTGTGTGTGTGTGTGTGTGTGTGTGTGTGTGT